AATACAAGAAGGGAAAACTGCAACCTGTCTCATTAAGAATGTAGATGCAGCCGGGCGCAGGGGCTCACACCTGTAATCCCAGCACTTTGGGAGGCCGAGGCGGGCGGATCACGAGGTCAGGAGATCGAGACCATCCTGGCTAACACTGTGAAACCCCATCTCTACTAAAAGATACAAAAAACTAGCCGGGCGAGGTGGCGGGTGCCTGTAGTCCCAGCTACTCGGGAGGCTGAGGCAGAAGAATGGCGTAAACCCAGGAGGCGGAGCTTGCAGTGAGCTGAGATCCGGCCACTGCACTCCAGCCTGGGCGACACAGCGAGACTCCGTCTCAAAAAAAAAAAAAAAAAAGAATATAGATGCATAGCTCTAAATAAAGTATTAGCCAAACAGACACAGCAATATGCATAAAAATACACATTATGCACAGCAATATGCATAAAAATATATCATTAGCAAGTTGAGTTTATTCTAAGACTGCAAGATTGATTAAATGTTAGAATAGCTGTTAATGTATTACATTAACAGTTTATAGGAGAAGCATAATCATATCAACAGATGAGAAAAATGTTTGATAAAATTCAACACTCAAAATAATCAAACTAGAAAGCAGACAGGAACTTACTTAAACTGAAAAAACATAAATACCAAAACCTATAGAAACAGATACATATGTAATTGTAAATCCATGGTAACATACTTTTGAAAACAGGATTAACACAAGGATACCCGTGGACAGTGACTCTATTCATCGAAGTGTGTATTGGAAGTCCCTGCCCGTAAAGTAGGACATAAGGATATAAGTAGAAGAAACATAAGGATTAGGATGGAAAGAAATAAAGTTGTTATCATTTATCATAAGTGGATCATCCACATACAGAAAAATCTAAGAGACTCAAAAGACATTACTAATAAGAACTGAGCAACTTTTGTTGGATATAAGATCAACATACAAAAATTTATTGCTTTATTAATACTAGCACATAAATAGAAAACACCTTTGAAAATAAAGTTTTCATTTACAGTAGCAACAACAGCTATGGGATACCTAAGCAACAATTTAACATAAGACACAGCTAATTATAACACCTTATTTAACTGGTGTGAGGTGGTATCTCATTGTGGTTTTGATTTGCGTTTCTGTGATGGTGAGGGATGATGAGCATTTTTTCATGTGTCTATTGGCTATATGAATGTCTTCTTTTGAGAAGTGTCTGTTCATATCCTTTGCCCACTTTTTGATGGGGTTGTTTGTTTTTTTCTTGTAAATTTGTTTGATTTCTTTGTAGGTTCTGGATATTAGCCCTTTGTCAGATGAGTAGATTGCAAAAATTTTCTTCCATTCTGTAGGTTGCATGTTCACTCTGATGGTAGTTTCTTTTGCTGTGCAGAAGCTCTTTCGTTTAATTAGATCCCATTTGTCAATTTTGGCTTTTGTTGCTTTTACTTTTGGTGTTTTAGACATGAAGTCCTTTCCCATGCCTATGTCCTGAATGGTATTCCCTAGGTTTTCTTTTAGGGTTTTTATGGTTTTAGGTCTAACATTTAAGTCTCTAATCCATCTTGAATTAGTTTTCGTATAAAGAGTAAGGAAAGGATCCAGTTTCAGCTTTCTACTTATGGCTAGCCAATATTCCCAGCACCATTTATTAAATAGGGAATCCTTTCCCCATTTCTTGTTTTTGTCAGGTTTGTCAAAGATCAAATAGCTGTAGATGTGTGGTATTATTTCTGAGGACTCTGTTCTGTTCCATTGGTCTATATCTCTGTTTTGGTACCAGTACCATGCTGTTTTGGTTACCGTAGCCTTGTAATATAGCTTGAAGTCAGGTAGCATGATGCCTCCAGCTTTGTTCACACCAGTTAGAATGGCAATCATTAAAAAAATCAGGAAATGACAGGTGCTGGAGAGGATGTGGAGAAATAGGAACACTTTTACACTGTTGGTGGGACTGTAAACTAGTTCAACCATTGTGGAAGACAGTGTGGCGATTCCTCAAGGATATAGAACTAGAAATACCATTTGACCCAGCCATCCCATTACTGGGTATATACCCAAAGGATTATAAATCATGCTGCTATAAAGACACATGAACACGTATGTTTATTGCAGCACTATTCACAATAGCAAAGACTTGGAATCAACCCAAATGTCCATCTGTGACAGACTGGATTAAGAAAATGTGGCACATATACACCATGGAATACTATGCAGCCATAAAAAAGGATGAGTTCGTGTCCTTTGTAGGGCTCACAGTTCCACGTGGCTGAGGAGGCGTCAGGAAACTTATGATCCTGTCAGAAAGCAAAGGTGAAACAAGGCACATCTTACATGGCAGCAGGAGAGAGGGAGAGTAAAGGGGAAACTGCCACTTTTAAACCATTAGATCTCATGAGAACTCCCTCACTATCACGAAAACAGCATGGATAAAATCACCCTAATGATACAACCTCCTCCCACCAGGACCCTCCCTCGACACATGAGGATTACAATTCAAGATGAGATTTAGGTGGGGACACGGAGCCAAAGTATATCACTGGTTAAGCCAAGGAAACAAATTCTCTCCTAGAGCCTCCAGGAAGGAACCCAACCCTGGGCACACATTTGATTTTATGTTAGTGAGGCTTACGTCAGACTTCTGAACTACCGAAATATAAGATAATAAATTTGTGTTATTTTAGGCCACTAATTTTGAGATAATTTCTAATGACAGCTATAGAAAATGAATACAACTGCTTCACAAAGAAATTTTGGAACATCTACAAAGTCAACTCCTAGGGACATACCCAGTGCTTTGCCACTTAACTATGTGGTCCAGGGACCATCAGTGTTATCTGAGAGCTGGTTAGAAATTCAGACTCTCAAACCCTACCTCCAACCTGTTGAATCAACAGCTGTGTTTTAAAGATATGCCCAGTGACTTCTAAGCACATTAGACTCAGAAACACTACCTTATGAAATATCTCTCATTTTTGCACAGAGACAGTTATTTCAGCATTATTGATTATAGCAACGAATAATAACAACATAATGTCTTTCAATCACAGAGTGTATATAAATAAGTTGTTGCATATTTATACATTGGAATAACACATGGCTGTGAGAATAAATGAAGGAGAGCTTCTTGGAGGTACAACTTCTACAAAATGTTGAATAGAAAAAAAATAAGTTGCAAAGGGATATGTAGAGTATGATGGTATTCATATAAAATTTTAAAACATCAAAAACCATACTATAAAATCTTTATTGATACATACACATGTAATTAAAGTGTAAAAATACTTATGGAGATCATAAATACTACCTTTAGGATGATGGTTGCCTCTGGGGAGAAAAGGAAACAAATGGGATGAAAAGCAGTTACGATATAAGGTTAAGTTTTGACAAATCTGGTTGGTAGGCACACCAATGCTCCTTATATTATTGCTTACAATTGTTTGATGACTTGAACTATTTCATAATTTAAAAGAAGGTATTATTTACTAATGGAATTTATAAGATTTCCACAAAAGTTCTGCATTTATTTTTGTATTATTTGATTGAAATTCAAGTCAGCTAAAAATGACTAATCTAGGGTTTTTCCCTTCAAGGCTCCCAGGGCCTGTAGTGAGTTTTGTAACAAAATGCCACACAATAGTTTCCTGTCTTAGATGGCAACTACAGTCCCTTTTAACGTGACCATTTTTAGCAGTTGATCAGTATGTCCTCATAACTAAGTTCTATGATCTAATGTGGGCTGTACAAATTGGGTATTGCATTAAAAAAATTCCTGATCTTTTAAGGAGACACTCATAGTAAAATAAACAAAAAACAAAGCAAATTGTTGAAAATTAAATTATTGAAAATAAATACTTGTGAACACAACATTTTAAAGAAAACTAAATATTTCCAACAATTTGTATTCTGGAGAACATGATAAAACCTGTTTTAGACTTATTATATGAACTACATGTGGGGAAAAAAATTCTCATTTTTTATTGTCTCCCAAATTCATTCAGTTTTATCCAGAATCACACTTTCATTAAATTTAGATATTGATATTCTGAAAATTCTGGCCTTCTTTCTTTAATAATTGTCTTTTATATATAGGCATGTTCCTACCATTTAATGAAGGTCCATATATGTGTAATTCATGCTTATTTGATTCTTTCTGTATATGGCTTCTATATACAAAGCTAAATTTAAAGTAAAAGTAAATAGAGTCAAGAAAATTATTGTTCAAGAAATGCCTAGAAACAATTCTCCTGAGACGTTTAAGTACTTGTGAGGATTTTGAGAAAAAAAATCCATACCATAAAGTGATAAGCAGATGTTGCCCATATGTTGATTGCAAATAAGTTTCTATACCTTATGTAATATATTTCTTGAGGTTCTGCCATTATAAATCTAGTTGTCTATACATATCTTTGAGGAAATTATGTGTGACAAACCAGCTGAGGCTAAACTTCCCTTGAAATAGTGCAGAAATTGTGGATTTAAATTTGCATTACTACTTCTTAGACTATTCATAAAATAAGCATAGTTTCTGTATGTGAGTTGACTAAATTATGATTCTGTATCTTCCAGGAATGTGAATTCATTCCTCTGCACTTTTTCTGTTATTTAGTTTCATTTAGGTCCATGATTATAGCACTGCTTAGCTTTCATTTAAACATCATCCAAATTTTGTTTATTATCAGTAATTCTTTATTGGAACTGTTTCCTTCAAAAGGGTGTGGTCTGATTACTGTCAGAGTTCCTCTATCCCCATGGTGCATTACTCAGGAAAATTTTTCATTAGTTAATGGTGCTGATTATATCATAAAATATTTCCTTTTGTAGAATCAGAGTAAATCACATTTTAATCTCAGAATAAGGTACCACGTTATTTTTAGTAAAAGAATTGGCCATCAGTCTGTGCTATTTAATGTGTAAGTGCCAATATTATTACATTGGTAATAATGTTATTTCTGTTGCTCATGGCTTGATAAAGTCATCATTTCCTTTGTTGTTCCCTTAACAGGTAACACCATGTTGTTGAGAGTGTTACCTGCTGTGTATGAAAAGCAGCCTCAGCCAATTAATAGACACCTGACAGAACTCCTGGCCTTGATGTCTCAGCTGGAACAGCCAGAACAGTACCATCTACTACGGCTTTTGCATGTAGCAGCAAAGAAAAAACAACTCGAGGTAAAAAGTACATTGTATATGTCATGGTCCACGCAACCAGGCATGTTTCTTTGTGTGTGAACAGCATATGTGCTTAGGATTTCCTGTCTCATACATTTATACATGTCCATTTTTAAGTGAAAGCACTCATCTACTTATTATATTTGTATAATGAGAAATTGGCTCATGAAATTATGGAGGCTAAGAAGTCCCATCTGTCATCTGCAAGCTAGATGCCAAGGAAAACCAGTGGCATAATTTCAGTTCAAGTCTGAAAGCCTGAGAACTGGAGAGCCGATGGCACAAGTTACAGTCTGAGGACAGGAGAGACCAATGTTCCAGCTCACAAAATCAGGCAGAGAGAGTAAATTCTCTCTTCCTCCACCTTTTTGTTCTTTTCAGGCCCTCAGATAATTGGATGAGGCCCACCCATATTGCAGGGGCAATCTGCTTTATTTAGTCAACCCATTAAAATGCTAATCTCATCTGAAATCATCCTCACAGACACACCCAGAAATAATGTTTAATAAAATACTTGGGTGCCCCATGACCCAGTCATGTTGACATATAAAATTAACCATCACAGGCCAAGCATGGTGGCTCGTGCCTGTAAGCTCAACATTTTGGGAGGCTGAGGTGGGTGAATCACTTGAGGCCAGTCTGAACAACATGGTGAAACTCTGTCTATACAAAAAATACAAAAATTAGCAGGGCATGGAGGAGGCACCTGTAGTCCTAGCTACTCAGGAGGCTGAGGTGGGAGAATCACCTGAGCCAGGGAAATTGAGGCTACAGTGAGCCAAAATCATGCCACTGCACTCCAGCCTGGGTGACAGAGTGAGACCCTGTCTTAAAAATAAAGACATAAATAAATAAAAATTAAAAATTAAAAAATTAACCATACAGATACAGTAATGAAAAGCAACAAATGGGCCAGGCAGAGTAATGGCTCATGGCTGTAATCCCAGCACTTTGGGAGGCTGAGGCGGGTGGATCAGAAAGTCAGGAGTTCAAGACCAGCCTGGCCATGATGGTGAAACCCTGTCTCTATTAAAAATACAAAAATTAGGCTGAGTGCAGTAGCTCATGCCTGTAATCCCAGCACTTTGGGAGGCTGAGGCAGGCAGATCACGAGGTCAGGAGTTCAACCAACATGACCAACATGGTGAAACCCTGTCTCTACTAAAAATACAAAAACTAGCTGGGCATGGTGGTGCGTGCCTGTTATTCCAGCTAGTCAGGAGGCTGAAGCAGGAGAATCACTTGAACTCAGGAGGTAGAAGTTGCACTGAGCCAAGATTGCGCCACTGCACTCCAGCCTGGGCAACAGAGCAAGACTCTGTCTCAAAAAAATAAAAAATATAAAGAAGAATTAGCTGGGCGTGGTGGCAGGAGCCTGTAATCCCAGCTACTCCGGAGGCTGAGGCAGGAGAATCGCTTGAACCCAGGTGGCAGAGGTTGCAGTGAGCTGAGATAGAGCCACTGAACTCCAGCCTGGGTGATACAGTGAGACTCTGTCTCAAAAAACACAAAACAAACAAACAAACAAAAGGCAAGAGATGTGCGAATCTGTAGCTATTGCAGAATGGCGTTAAAGAAAGTTTAATGTCATCATGCAGTTCTAGGAATCTGTAGTTTCTCAGGTAAGACCAAGAGAAAGAACTATGCTTAACTTTATTTGTGAATTAATCAGCCTATAGTGAGAGCAAGGTTCATTTCTCAGATAGCAAATCAGCTATTGTTCTTTGGATTCAAGTAGAATATTATAACAATTAGGATGCTTATGATTATCAGTAATAGAACACCCAAACCACAATAGTTTCATCAATGATAGGAATTTATAGCTCATGTGATGGGAAAAAAATCAGATGAGGTTTGGTTCAAAAATAATATGAACAAACAATTTCTCTATTTTGATTTCTCAGATTTGACTTCTAGGCTTCCATTTTCCACAGGCTTTCTCCTTGTCATCTCCAAATAGGTGCTAGGGGCTCTCTTGGCACTATGCTTCTCCTACATCTATCACTGCCACCAGCAGCCAACAGAAGTCTTGATATTCTGTCTGTTTAGGATACATGCTCTACCTCTAGAGCTTCTCTTGAACTGGAGGATACACAGACAGAAACTAGAGGCTGCCAGGAAGAGGGAATTCGAAATGGATTTTGGAGAGTACCAATGTGTTATTCCGTTTTCATGCTGCTGATAAAGACATACCCAAGACTGGGAAGAAAAGAGATTTAATTCGACTTACAGTTCCACATGGCTGGGGAGGCCTCAGAATCATGGCAGGAGACAAAAAGCACTCCTTACATGGTGGCAGGAAGAGAAAATGAGAAACCCCATGCAAAAGCAGACAACCCTGATAAAACCTTCAGATCTCATGAGACTTATTCACTACCAAGAGAACAGTATGGGGGAAACCACCCCCATAATTCAAATTATCTTCCACTGCATCCCTCCCACAACATTTGGGCATCATGGGAGTACAATTCAAGATGAGATTTTGGTGGGGACACTGAGCCAAACCGTAACACTACATCCCTGGCCCATCCAAATCTCATTTCCTCACATTTCAAAACCAACCATGCCTTCCCAGCAGTCCCCCAAAGTCTTAACTCATTTCAGCATTAACACAGTCCAAAATCCACAGTCCAAAATCTCATCTAAGATAAGGCAAGTGCCTTCTGCCTATGAGCCTGTAAAATCAAAAGCAAGTTACATTGGATAAATACAACTGTTCCAAATGGGAGAAATTGGTCAAAGCCAGGGGCTACAGGTCCCATGCAAGTCTGAAATCCAGCAGGGCACTCAAATATTAAAGCTCCAAAATGATCTCCATTGACTCCATGTCTCGCATCTGAGTCACACCAATGCAGGGGTTCTTCGGCAGCTCCACCCCTGTGACTTTTCAGGGTACTGCCTCCCTCCTGGCTGCTTTCACAGGCTGGTGCCCCAGTAGGGACTCTGTGTGGAGGCTCTGACCCCACATTTCCCTTCTGCACTGCCTTAGGAAAGGTTCTGCACGAGAGCCCTGCCCCTGAAGCAAACTTTTGTCTGGACATCCAGGCATTTCCATACAGCCTCTGAAATCTAGGCAGAGGTTCCCAAACTTCAATTCTTGACTTTTGTGTACCTGCAGGCTCAACACCTCATGGAAGTTGTCAAGGCTTGGGGTTTGCACCCTCTGAAGTCATGGCCCGAGCTGTACTTTGGCCCCTTTCAGTCACAGTGAGAGTGTCTAGGACACAGGGCACCAAGTCCCTAGACTGCTCACAGCATGGGGGCCCTGGGCCTTGCCCATGAAACCATTTTTTCCTCCTAGGTCTCTGGGCCTGTGATGGGAGGGGCTGCCATGAAGACCTCTGACATGCCTTGGACACATTTTCCCCATTGTCTTGGGGATTAACATTTGGCTCCTTGTTACTTATGCAAATTTCTGCAGCCAGCTTGAATTTCTCCTCAGAAAATGGGTTTTTCTTTTCTATCACATTGTCAGGCTGCAAATTTTCCAAACTTTTATGCTCTATTTCCCTTATAAAACTGAATGTCTTTAACAGCACCCAAGTCACCTCTTGAATGCTTTGCTGCTTAGAAACTTATTTGCCAGATACCCTAAATCATTTCTCTCAAGTTCAAAGTTCCAGAAATCCCTAGGGCAGGGGCAAAATGCTACCAGTCTTTTTGCTAAAACGTAACAAGCATACCTTTGCTGTAGTTTCCAACAAGTTTCTCATCTCCATCTGAGACCACCTCAGCCTGGACCTTATTGTCTATATCCCTTTCAGTGTTTTGGTCAAAGCTGTTCAACAAGTCTCTAGGAAGTTCCAAATTTTCCCACATTTTCCTGTTTTCTTCTGAACCCTCCAAACTGTTCCAACTGCTGCCTGTTACCCAGTTTCAAAGTCACGTCCAAGTTTTCAGGTGTCTTTTCAGCAACGCCCCACTCTACTGGTACCAATTTACTGTATTAGTCAGTTTTCATGCTGCTGATAAAGACATACCCAAGACTGGGAAGAAAAAGAGGTTTAATTCGACTTATAGTTCCACATGGCTGGGGAGGCCTCAGAATCATGGTGGGAGGCAAAAGGCACTTCTTACATGGTGGCAGTAAGAGAAAATGAGGCCTCTCATTTTTGGATACCCCTGATAAAACCATCAGATCTCATGAGACTTATTCTCTACCATGAAAAACGTTTGGGGGAAACTGCCCCCATTATTCAAATTATCTCCTACTAGGTCCCTCCCACAACATATGGAACTTATGGGAGTACAATTCAAGATGAGATGTGGGTGAGGACACACAGCCAAACCATATCAACCAACATGTGTGCCCAGTGAATATGAATGGTTAGCCCAAGGTTATTCAATTATGGTTGTCTCATTTCTTTATAATTTCACTATCCACCACTTGAAAAAAAATCAATGCTAAAGTGAAGACTGGAACATTTGTATTCAACATCCAAATTATTCAAAGGAAAGCAAGAAAGAATAGTTATATACATAATTAGCCACAATAGACTGCAAGCTCCTTTGACAAGAAATGATTTCTTCTTTCCTCTGTATCTTAGACTTTTCCACAGTATCTGATAGTGCTCAATAAATATTCATAGAACTAAACTGAGAACAAAGATAGAACCAAATTAAACAAGGTGATAAATGCTTTGCAAATGGCATAAACAGAGAGAGGGGTTAATGAATTCTACTTTAGGGGGAAATAGATGCCATGAAGTCCCACAAAGGGAGTGACATCAGAGCCATACCCTGAAAAATGCATACTTTTATGCAGATGATTCAGAGCTGGGAATCTTGGGTATTGGAGAGCAGAATTCACAGGAAGCTTCAGGAGATGAGACCAACAAGGATGACCAATGCCTGGGCCTCAATCCCAGGGGTTTTGGTTCAGTAGGTTCAGTAGACACAATTGGGGACCTAACTGTGTCTTTTTTACAAGTACCCATATAGTGCTGCTGCTGTTGCTTCAAGGGACCACACTTTGAGTAGCAAGGCTAGAGCTCAGGCAG